TATTTATTTTATAGGGGATTAATATCCCCCAAAAAGCTAAACATCAAAGATAAGTACCAGACAAGCAAATTAGCTGAACAGCCAATTATCAGAAAATGCAAATCAAAACTACACTGAATCTGAGAATGGAGGTTATGCCTTTAATAGCAGCACTTGGGAGTTAGAGATAAGCAGATGGGCAGCACAAGGCTAGCCAAGGCTACACGCTGAGTTCAATGCCAGCTCGGGCTACTTGAGATTCTGCCTAAACAGATAGACAGACAGACACACCCCGGAGCTGAGGACTGAACCCAGGACCTTGCACTTGCTAGGTAAGAGCTCTACCACTGAGCTAAATCCCCAACCCCATTGTTTTTTTTTAGTGGACTTTCCCTCTAGTAATGTGTGTCTAGGACAGCAGTTATAATCTTATAAAGACGTTTATTCCTTTTTTTCGTAAATGATTTGTTTTATTTATTTATATGTTTTATGTAGATGAGTGTTCTTCTGCATGTACGCCTGCATGCCAGAAGAGTGCATCAGATCTCAGTATAGATGGTTGTGAGCCACCATGCGGCTCCTGGGAATTGAATCAGGACCTCTGGTAGAGCAGACAGTCCTCCTAACCTCTGAGCCATCTCTACAGCCCAGTGCCTTACACTTGTAATTCCAACACTCATAAGCCTGAAGCAGCAGGACGATTCCAATATCAAGGCTGACCTGTCCCAGTGAGTGCCAGGCCAGCATGGGCTACAAAGTGAGATCCTGTCTCAAAAACACCGAAGCTAATTGACAGAAGAATAACAATAAACAGTTATGTAACTCTCGGGGCTGTTTTCTGAGCTAGGAAAGGCAGTTCAATACATTAGCAACTATGTAAGATAGGATTACATTCACCAGAACACTGGTTATAAAGGTAGGATTCATACGGCGTTTTAAAAGGGTAGAAAAATGTATTAAAGTATTTAAGTTTTAAATTAAATGCAGTTACCAATCGTAAGCTGTCAGACCAATATAGATGTTACATATGGTTCCTTTTTCTTCTGAATTAAGCAAACTTTTATTGAAGTTTTGACTGCAACAAGAGGGTGACTGACCCGGCCTGATTACAACTGAGATTGTCGGATGGTTTCCCACTCTTGGCAAAACAAGTGTTTTTAACAACATCATCTTTGTATAACGGGGTAAAAACTACTTAACAGGTATGAATGATAATGTTTAACAGAATTCATTAATCTAGAAACGACACCTTAGCTGCACTTGCAAGATAACCATTCAAAAATGGTATTCTGTTAGACGCGCTTGTTCAGGCATTCATACAGCTGCTAAGTATATGAGTTTTGGTACAAAAATCTCTTTCCAGTGGTTGCGAAGAGCACAGGTAGCTAAGATTTTTACTATTAAAATCTCGTGATTACCACCTGTTTCTGAGTGGACCTTAGAGAATAAAGGATAAAGGGTCCTTTTGTGAAACTTACAAGGACTCTATTAAAACACAAAACCCCAAATTAAACAAGTCTGCAGATAAAGTATTTCGTGGGTTTGTGTAGTACGAACCCTGTGGAAAGCTCATCTGGCTGTTTTGAACCCACTGATACCTAATGTGCAAGCATCCGTTAACCTGGAAGATGAAGCTCATTTTACACAGCTTAAACCCTTCATTCGAAATCAAAGTCCGCGGGCCTCCTGGTCGGGTCGCTGGGCTCAGGACACCACACTCACTTCAAAGGCAGAATAATCCGGAGCTGTCAGGTAGCTCAGGTAGTTCTTGGTAGGTCGGTATCTGCGCGTTTCCTCCTCCACCAGGGCCGCAGCCTAAGAACGAGAATAGGGCCGGGGTCAGGCGGGAAAGGGCAGCGTGCCCCCGGCGGCCCCGCCGCACAAGCCCCGCACTCACCGCTTCCCGCACGCCGGGCGCCTCGTAGCCTTGGTCGAAGTACGGCAGCGCATCCACCACCACCTCCCCGGCTACCAGGCCCGTGCCCGCCATGGCGCGGCACTCTGCCCCGCGAGCGCCTGCTGAGTCTGCGCAGGCTCAGCTCCATGCCACTGCGCCTGCGCCCGGAATGACGTCACACGAGCCGCCGGCTCTTCGACTCCGGCGCATGCGCAGCTGCGAATCCTGAGGCCGCTGGCGCTGAGGATTGTTTTGTTTAGTCCGGTGGACTGGGCATCACGCACCGACGTCGCCGTTGCCTTTTGTTTTATGGGTACCATGTGGGTATTTCTGAAGCTCCGAGGACAACTTTATTGGCACTTAAAAGAAAAACAGTAGGGCAGACAGGAAGCAAGGCAAGGGGGAGAGGAAGCCTTGTCTTTTGAGTCAGGCACCAAGGTTAGCAATCCAGGTGGGATTGGCAGCCGAAAGGCAGGAGGCGAAAGGACTTAAGAGGGAGAACGCTCAGAGCGTTTCGGGCGGGGTTGGGGAACGGGACGCGGGTGGGCGGGGCGGATCTCGGAAGAGGTGGTTGCTGGACTTGGCTGGAGGGGAGAAGTAAATTTCCCTCGCCCTTTAACCTTCCACCTTCTAAACACGCTCAGTGTTGGGCTTCCAGCGCCCCCTTGCTCTGTCCTCATTTCGCAGCGGGTCCTTTAAGAATGTTCTGTTATAGACTCTAGATATGGGCACCTGTTTTTTAAATTAAATTTTTAGCTTTAACAACCCTATACGCACCGGGGGTGCGGCTTAGTGGTAAAACTTCAGTCCCCGGCATTGCAAACAAACACTTCATCCCTTCCAAGACAGTAATTACATCTACAAAATGCCTTGTTTACAAAGCTCTCCCATTTTTGTCTATTGGGTCTACATAAAACCCAATCATTTTGCCTTTAGGATCTGTGGTAATAGAATACTCCTCGTTTGGCTCCCAAACCCTCAGGCTGTAGTTAGTAAATATCCTGCCTGAAGTATCTCCCAGACTACGATAAAGGCAAAAAAAGATAGCTGGACTATATATGCTGCCCACTGTGCATTCAACCAGGGCTTATCTGTTAAGAGCTTTGGAAAAGTTGGTCACAATTAAGCCTGGTTAGTCTAAGATGGATTGGGTACTCGGTCCCCAGCTGGTGGCGCTGTTGTGGAGGTTTAGGCCAAGCCTGGCTGGAGGTCACTGGAGGTGGCTTTGAGAGTTTAAGCCTCACATTACTTTTCTCTCTGCCTCCATGTTGCTGTTTGAAGATGTGAACTCCAGCTCTCAACTCCTGCCTCCATGCCTTCCCCTTGGTGCCATGCTTCTCCACCAAAATGGGCTCTTAACCCTGGAACTGTAAGCCAAAATAAACGATCTTCAAGTTACTTGGCCAATGTTTTATCACTGCAACAGAAAACTAAGACACATCTTAAGCGGATTTATTTTAAATTCTCCAAATCTGTGGGATTATTTTAAAATGCCTTTATTCATTAAAAGATCTGTAAACATTTGATAGAAATCTTTAACGATTCTTTTTACAAACATATCCAGGATTCACAACATTTACAAAAAGAAAATACAATGAACTCAAGGAAAGAAAGCAGCTTTCGACTGTAAGAAGGTAAGACTCTCATCCGCAAAGCAGTCTCCCTCAGAGGGACAGCTGCGATTGGCCACAGAAAACCCTCCTACTCCCATTCTATAAACAACCAATTAGGAATTGTTCCCTCAGGATTGGGGCGTCTGGGGAGATGTCTGGAGGAGCTCCCTGGGGTAAGCTGCATTAACATTTTAAAAGACAGGCTCAGTTTTTTTCCTGGACCCACATCTAGGAGCTATACTGCACAGCACCAGCCTTAAATGGATTCATTCAGACACACTAAAATGGGCGATAATGACAGTACTGTACAAGTTAGTCAGTTGTATCCCAATACAGTGTACAACATTTCTAAGTCTGAATAAATATTTTCCATGCCAGGTAAAGCCATGAGCAAAGGTTAAAGGAAACAACTTACATCTGCCACATTTATCAGTTACCAATGAAACTGCACCTTCACTGACAAACTCCTTCTCCCAGCCACTACTCCTACTTTAGGTTTTCAGCATCTGGTTGATGGAGAGGTAAATACTTGGAGTCTAATCAGAATGAAAACTCACAACGACGTCAAATGACGACATTTGGCCTCGGGTTCTACCCCAGCAGCAGAAGAAAAGCGAACAAAGGAGCTGAGCCTCACCTAGACAACCCACAGCCTGAGTCTCTGCGGAGCCAAGAGGTGGCTCTGGTGTACTCCACAAAGAACTTTAAACATCGCTGCAAGCCTAAAGAGCTCAAGTTTCCATCTGTAGGACTAACCAGCTTTTATGTGTTCATAAGTCAAGTGTTTGGCTTAGTCCAGCCTTGTATAAAACTGGCCAAATTACTTAGCCTCTCTGAACTCCAGTTTCTTGTAAAAATAACATGAAGTTGATCTAAAGCTTGAATAAGATGGCATAAGTAGACTAACACAGTGCAGCAAATTGTGGGCACCAATTTGCTCAACAAACAGGTAGCTATGTCCTTAAAAGGGCATTTTCATATGGGCTGTATTCCACACAGCATAATGCTGCCACGTGAAAGGCACGCTATTCCAGCAGGACAATGTTCCAGGGAGGATCTGCATGGTGCCTGCTTTTTTAAGGTTCTAACATGAATGAAATTTTCTAAGACAGGACACAGGGCAGAATGGGGTTATCAAAGGTGAACATACTAAAACTTGAAAGTGCAAACAGTCCATGGATTTAAAGCAACCTGATGATGAATCGAGTGTAACCGCAATGTGCTCCATTTCTACCTAGCCTCTTTAGTACCGAAACTCAGCATTTCTCTCCTCATTCTCATCTTTGCATTATTTTTGTTTTTTTTTAAAGAGTAACACTAAGTATTTCTGAGTCTTTTTCTTGTAAAAGACAACTGCTTTCATAGACTAGGCTTAAAGTAGAGCTTCTTGTACCCACCAATAATCAAAAGAGAAAACACCACAGTAAAAATAACTTGGCCAGGTATGATGGCACACATCTTTAATCCCAGAACTTGGGAGGCTGAAGCAGGTGGACCTCTGTGAGTTTGAGGCCAGCCTGGTTAACATAGGGTAATATAAGAGACCCTGTCTCAAAAAAACACAAAACAAAAAACCAACTAACCAAACCAAAGTCCCTGCATTAGAAGGAGAAGAGATTACATTGGTTCTAGACTATTCCCAGTTGGCCTGCAGCAACAGTCTTTCTCCTTGTACAATCTCAAGGACTTTGTAGGACTCTTCAAGGCATCCAGATCCTCGGAAAAATACTGTCTTTGGCACTTTCAGTTATGTTTAGGATGAAAACAAAGATTTCACTTCTTGTGAAGAAACCTCATTTTGCTTCCTGGAAGGAGAAAAGGGTAGTGTGAGCGCTTATTTTACTGTTATCTGTTACACGTTTGGGGCAGGGGACTAACAACCTAGGCACTCAGAACCACTCAGGAGTTTAGCTTCCCTGCCAAGTGCTGTGATTTGTATAAGTGTTCCCCAAAGTCCTATGGGTGAAAGCTTGGTCCCCAGCTTGTGGCACTATTGGAAAGTAATGGAACTTAATGAAGTGGGGCCTAGCGGTAGGATCTCTGGTCTTGAGTATGCTCAGCAGCTACTTGGCCCTTCCCTGTCTCTGATTCCTGGCAGCATGACACAAGCAGCAGCTTCTACCCATGTCTTGGCATGCTGTATTACCTAGCCACAGGCCCAAAGCATTAGGGCCAATGATCCATGGGCTGAAACTCCCCAAACTAGAAGAGGCCCAAATAAGCTTCTAGAACAATAGTTCTCAACCTGTGACCCCCATGGGTCTTGAATGATCTGTTCACAGGGGTCACCTACGACCATCAGAAAACACAGATATTTACATTACAAGTCATAACAGTACCAAAATTACAGTTATGAAATAGCAATGAAAATAATTTTATAGTTGGGGGTCACCACATACAGGAGGAGCTGTATGAAAGTGTTAGGAGCATTAGGAAGGTTGAGAACCACCGCTCCAGAGGCTTTTTATTATCTTAGGCGTCTGGTTGTGCTAATGGAAAGCTATCAGTTGATGTGTTCGACCACAAAAAAACAAAACAAAAAACCATGAGTGTCTAATTGTGGAGGTAGAAAAGAACTCAAGACAGAATCTAATCTAAGTGGTTTTCAACTCAGACTGGAGTTTCAAATTACCTGGCTTACTCCACAGAGATTTCTTGGAGCTCATGGGAAACCTTTAAAAAAGTCCCTAAAGATTATCATCTGATCTAATCTAACCCCTAGGGACAGAAGAAATCATAGCCTGCAGCGTAATTTGCCCATGGTCTCTCAGCTAGTTAAGAACAGGGTCTAATGAGGCACCGATTCCATTTAGGATTTAAGATCACTGTTTGAGAAAGGCACACAACTGTTCTCATAGCACACTGGAATTTAAAAATCATAAGGAACTGTGTTTATAAAATTAGAGTGAGGCATCCTCCCCTGTTTTCCAGTCCTCCTGGTATTTTAGTCTGAAGTCCACGGACACTCTAAAGTTATACGTAAAATTTATCTGTATGCCTAAATACATTTTTTCCGGTAACAGGACTGTTTTTAAAACACAGCCCCGGACGGTGCTACCTAGAGAAGCTTTATGATCATGATGTGGGAACTTTCACTGTAAGGTTAATTAGGGCTTCACATGAGGGACACAGCCCAGAGCCCAGCCTGGTAGGGAATCCCCAGTGTTTGAGGTGACTTGCTTTTTCAAAACTTTAGGAGCTAGGGCCACAGTGTCCAGTCAGCCAGCCTGAGGCTGACTGCTGGTCTGAGTGGAGTCTCTGGGATGAGACCTGCTTACTGAGAGGCTCTTTTACAGCCACCTTATCTAAGAGAGAGCAAAGCAACTCACCAAGACTCCGCAAAATTCTATTCACGCCACTGGGTTCCGACTCAGGAATTGTTTCCAAATATTGGAGAGCCCGGACTTCAAACAAACCTATGAAGAAGATATTGGTGAGACTGTCCAACACTCCAGCCTGGAAACCAATTAAATTAAACATTTTCTTCCTCTTTTTGGCAGTGATGTGGGCAGACTCAGGTCTTTGTACACACCAGGCAGGTGCTCTACTACTGAGCTATGCGTCAGCCTAAGATTAGTCTTTTTTAAATGATTTTTTCAAATTTGTAATTTACTTAACTTTGTATGTTCATGTTTTCATGTATGTATGTGAAGTGGGAATATGCATGCCATGATACACATGTAGAGGTCAGAGGTCAACTTGTGGGTGTCTGCTCTTTCCTTCCATCACATTGAATCCAGGGACAGAACCTGTCAAGGTGGCCAGCAAGAGGCTTTAGGACTATCCATCTCCACTGCCCTGATCCTGTTTTTATTACCAGTGTATTAGTCAGCAGTTAAACAGTATAATAGATAATTCCCAAAGTAACTCCCATGTGCCCTGGTAAGCCTACACATCTTGTCTATTATTCAATCCTTATAAGAACTCACCAAATGTGGTGGTTTGAAAGAAAATGGCACCCACGGGCTCACAGGGAATGGCACTAGTAGGAGGTGTGGCCTTACTGGAATAGGTGAGGCTCTGTTACAGGAAGTGTGTCTCAGTCTCTTCCTGCTGCCTGTGGGTCCAGATGCAGACCTCTCGGCTCCTTGTCCAGCACCACATCTGCCTGCATACCCCCTTGTTTCCCACTATGATGGTAATGGACTAAACTTCTGAACTGTCAGCCAGCCCCAATGAAATGCCTTCCTTTATAAGAGTTGCCATGCACATGGTGTCTCTTCACAGCAACAGAACCCTGACTAAGAAAGCAAACAAGGAGATCATGATTTCTTGTAGAACCTTTAACTCCGCTTTGCCGAAGCTCCCGGTCCTGGACAAATCCTGCAAACATCTGTGTCTCCATGAAGAGATCCAGAAAGTGGCGAACACTGCGGGAAGTGTGGGACTTCCGAAACGGCTCCCTCTGGAACACGCGCTCCCCACGCTCTGTGACAGTCATATTCAGAGAATAATGCCCCACAAGCTCCACAAAAAACCTGACAAATGCTTCAGACACCAGGGAATTCAGTGTCACATCTGTTTCAGAATGAAAGAAACAAAGAAAATAATCTAAGTTTTGTGTATTAAGAACCTGACACTAGTTATGGAAGCCAATTCTAAAGAGTCATGAAAGACAGTAAGTTTAGGAATGTGCATTCCTAGTTTGCCGCACAACTCGTGGCATACAAAAAGCAAATAGCTTTTGTCTTGACCTTCATCCCCCAACCTCAATACTCTTACTGCACCTTGTAGCCTGGCTTCCACATTATGATTCATTTCTCTTATGAAAATGCAAACACAGCCCGTTTCTCCACCTGTACCCTCCTCTCAGTCCTCTGCTGCATCTGTGCATCCCTATGCTCTTCTGGCCCCTGTTTCCTGTCTTGAATGTAAGACTGAGAATTTGGCATCTTCTTGTCTCTTCATCCTCCCCTGAGTGTGGTCCTCAGACCACTTCTCTTTGGCATTCTATTCTGCTCCTTAAAAGGCTAATTTTAAGGAGGTCTGGTGGCTCACACCTGTAATCTTAGCACCTGGAAGATGGAAGTAGGAGAATCAGGAGTTCAAGATCATCTTGAGCGATATAGTGAACTTTGAGGCCAGTTTGGGTTGCCTGAGATCCTGTTCATGCAGCAGCAGCAGTAAAAATAAAGCCAACTGGCACAGAGACAGAGCTGGCTGTGCAATCCAAGTCCCAATCTCCACATGAGCATTTTGCTCTTTCCGTCCTCAGGCTGTCTATGGGCTGTCCCAGCGTCAACACTGGGCTGTCCCATTATAAATTGTATCATTTATAAAGTACATAAATTTCAACTTGTCTAAAAGTCACCACATCAGATCCTTTACAATATTTGGTAGGTTATGAGCCAATTACAGTCAGCTGTCAAAACACAAACGCACTAATTTCTCCACAAATCACTTGCCTTCTTTCTCACCGCATACTGCACTATGGTTGACGGCGATGACAATAGTGCACTGGGTGTTAATGCGCTGGCGCCACACCACTACTCCTCCAAAGACGATAAGCAGAAACGCTCCTGTCCATCCACCCATCCATCTTACTCCAATACACACCTCTTTCTCTGGGCTCTTTCTTTGACACCCAGGCTGGTCTCAAACTTCTACTACCTTCCAGTTGCTGAGACTACTGGAATGAAATACCATGCCTGGCAAAATACTACTTCAGTTTGTGGGTTTTCTTTTAAAGGCCAGGTCTCTCAAGGCTGGCCTCGGAACTCGCTATGTAGATCCACCTGCCTCACCTCAGGATGCTGGATTAAAGGTGCATGCTACCACACCAGCCTTAAACTGGGTTATCACTTCTCTAATTCTGTTTGTTATGTTCCCGTCAGTAAACAGCCTTACTTCCCCATCTGAAATGTCAATATGACACCTGCTTTCTGTTGTTTTGTTTTTGAGACAGGGTCTTATTATTAAGCCTTTGCTGGCCTGGAACTTACTGTGTAGACCAGGTCTGACTCTATCTCCCAAGTGCTGAGATTAAAGGCATGTGTTACCATGTCAGTTACAAATACGTTAAGGGCCATGGGGAGCAGAGGGAAAGAAATGAGTAAACACTGGTGAGAGAGGGAGTTTTTTTTTTAAAGGACAGAATGAACTCAAAGAGAAAATGACATGGGAGACAGACCTATAGGAAGAAAACATGCTATAAATGTAACTTATCAAAAGTCCTACAACCTAGGGGGACTGGCACTTGGGGAGCAGTAAGAAAGGACTGAGATTCTCAAGGTGCACTACTTCGGCATGTTCTTTAGCCCAGCGCTGGCTCTGCCTCGAGTGTTCACTGCTTTAACCTAAAGTCCTCGGCCCACATGTCTCACACCTTGTGAAAACTGCTTTTCCTGGGCCAAGACTTCATTTCGATCTTCTAAAATCTGCACCAAGGCAGCTTGAAGCTTAGGCGGCAGAATTTCATCCTCGTCAGACACCTTGAAAGGGAAGCAACTCTGCATGAGCCTTAGAGAATGTCAAACGTGCACCAGCTAACAACCCCCACCCCACAGGCAGCTTTGTGGATATTCTGCCTGAAGAGTCATTTTAACTTCTGTCACATACCTAGAATCGGAATGCATTATGTTTACAGTGTATTTTAACTTTGCTTTTAAAATCCAAGCAATGCCTTTTAAAATTCTCTGGCACTTTTCTACAAAATCTCTTATCTACAAGTTTCATTCCTTGTCTCCAATATTATTCCCCAACAAATGGTAGTTCCGTTGTGAGGATCCAACTGATTCTGAAGAGAGGGATCTGGTTTCCATGCTCAATTGATACTCAGAGAGCTGTTCTGAGACTCTTCACTATCTCCTTTTCCTCTTGGCATCCATCAGTTAGAACTACCTCATGCTGCCCCAGTATGCCTTGTTCGGATTGCTATTATACCATCTCTAAAGCATTATATAAATGCCCACTGCCGTATTCAATGAGACCTCTGTCTTACTTATCTTTAGATTCTAATTGCCTGAGTATCTACAAATAACCACAGTTAGTGCTTTTCTCTTCTTTTCGTGTGTTGAATTGGACACGGGAGCTTATGCATCTAGATGGAACTCTACTACTGAGCTGCATATTCAGCTCAGTATATTTCACCAACTTAGAGGCTTAAATGCCAAGCCTTCTGCAGCTGAAGGGATGGCTACTTCTTTTGAGAGTGACATTTATGCTGTTTCCTCCTTTGGGATGGACACCTATAAACTCAAGCCAAAATTTTCAGGACAATCTTGTATGGTTAGCTACAGTGTCGGCTCTGAGATGGGTAGGAACTAGAAGCCTTTTCTGAGTCATCTTCTCTAAGCACTTTCACATATTTTCTGTCTAATTGCCTACAGAGACACCTATGTCCCCAAACATTATGTAATCTTCTCCTTTGTCACTCACCTCCTGTAGGAACTTGTCTGCACAGAGATCAACTATCAGCACCTATGGAATAAAGGAGGCAGGCAGGTTCAACCAGAGACATTCACAGATACATCAGGCACTGTGGGATCGGGATGGGCATTCTCCTTCTTCCAGGCCATGGGAACAGTTTCAATCAAAATTAACTTAAAGTTGCAGCCAATTTAAAACTAATCCATCATAACAACAAACGAATTGGAAAAAGAAAAAGATGTGCACAATTACACAGTACAGGGATTTGCCAGGCCAGTGTGGTGGAGTGGCAAAGAGCAGCCTTTTCAACTAGTGATACTGAAGAGGTGGGTAGCTGCAAAGAGGGAAAATCCCCAAATGAGCTTTACACCACACTATTTGCAAACAAATGAAGTACAAGGTGGAGTCAGCGACAAAATCAAAAGCAAACTAATAGGGAGATAACAGAGGAGGATATCTTCCTCTTCATTAGTTTAATGTGAAAATTTTAAGCCGTTCATGAAAACATCAGTCATAAATGAAAAGATTGGCATCTTAACCACATTAAAATAAAGAACTCTCCTGCATTAAAAAATGTCATTTTGGGCTGGGTGTGGTGGTAGAAGATAAAATACCAGCAGTCTGGAGGCCATGGCAGGATGGTTTCCAAGTTCCAGCCCATCTTGGAGATATAGTGAGACCCTGTCTCAGAAACAAACAAGTGACCTTCACCCCCAAACCCAAAACCCACACACACACCAACCAACCAACCAACAGACAAAAAAACAAAGAACCAAATTCAGAACATTGTTTTGGAAAATGAAAGGCGAGCCTCAGGCTGGTGATATAACCCAATCTTCAGGCCTTGCCTTGCACGCATGGATCATGGAGTTTTTCCTGTGCGCTAGGTAGACCAGGTATGCTGCTATCTACCTGTAACCCAGAACTAGAGGGACGGAGGAATGCAATCAGAAGTTCTTGCTCATGCGCAGCTACAGTGTGAGTGAGGCCAGCCTGGGCTTCCTGAGACCCAATCCACAAAAATAAAATAAACAAAAGGATTTCTAGAAACATGGGTTGGGCTGTAGCTCAGATAGGCAACCTGGATTTGATCGCAAAACCATCAAACAAAATAAATAATGAGGACATTTTACAAATCATGGAGGATAAATAATTCAGGAGAATGGTAGCAAATAATTTATAATAGATGATATTCAATGACCAATAAATACACCTCAAAAATGATCAAGAAATGCCAATTAAACTACAACGAGCACACAGCTCCATAGTCACCAGCCAGGGGAGGCTGAACTACACAAGATGACAACAGCGCTGGTGGTATGGGAAGCCACAGTTCCTCCAGGGCTCTGTTGGGAGAAGTTTAAGTTGTCACTAATGTTGAATTTTCTGAAGTTGAAGATATGTTTAGCCTATAGCTCAGAATTCTGTTTTGAAGCATATACCCACAGGCCTGCAAGGATGGAGTGTGATGGATAAAAATATTTACAGGACTATTCATGAAACCCTCAGGCTGGAGAGGGCTCAGGTATTTATCAACTGTAGAATGAGTAAGAAAACTGTGGCACACTCACACATCAGCACATCCTAGGCAATCAGAATCACCCAACTATTGGCAAGCCCACACGGATGAATACAAACACAGGCCTCCCAGAGGAAACTAGAGAAAAGCTACACTACTCTTTTATATGAAGCTTCAGAAACAAGAAGCCTTGATTACATTGTTTTAAATGTTATTAGCATTTCTCTCTCTCTCTGCATGTGAGAGAGAGAGAGAGGAAAGAGAGAGATGCACTGCTATGCCATGGTGTAGAAAGGCGTTACAGAAGTCAGTTTTCTCCCTCTGCCTTTCGCTGGAACCTGGGCTGTCAGGTTTGGGTGCAAGCACATTTACCAGCTGAGCCACCACACATATTTGGAGATAAAATTATCAAGAAATACAAACAGATGGCTACTGTAAGAGTGAAGACAGTAGTGAGCTTTTCTGGGGCTTGGGGAAGGGACCATGAGATTAGGAGACTTAAATCTTTTGCTGTAATGTCCCACTACAATCCAATGCTGAATTATATACTTATCACTTTGTAATACTGCTTCACTAAGGTGTATTCTGCTTGTTTAAGGCACTTATCTACACATGTGCTAAACTTGAAACAAATTTTTAGTACACCCAGAGAAATGTTGTGTTGATTTTAAGAAAGAAAACATGGGCCCACAAGATCAAGCTGGACCACCCATACTCTATCCCTGCTGCCCACATAAAGGTAGAGGAGAGGATTGACCCACAAAATTGTCCTCTGACCTTCCGTGTGCCACGGAACCCATTCATATCATGGCATACACAGAAAAAAAATTTGTTCGTTTGTTTTTTTTGAGACAGGGTTTTTGTGGTCCTGGCTGTCCTGGAACTCGCTCTGTAGAGCAGGCTGGCTTCAAACTCAGAGATCCGACTGCCTCTGCCTCCCAAGGGCTGGGTTTAAAGGCATGTGCCATCACCATTAGGCTTTAAAAAAGTGTAATAGAAGGCAGAGGCCTCCAAACAGACCAATGACTCAGTGCAATGAGCATTTGCAAGTAAAGAAATGTGGACAAAAGGGTGTCCTGTGTGACACACTGTGACACACTACAGCTTCCAAAACAAGATGTAAATTGTGTCTGTTTTTCTATCTTATTTTATATTTTTGGTGGTGATGGGGAGGTCCCAAGGGCAGAGACAAATACAAAGTGACAGAAAGATGAGTGGGATTGGGGTGCATGATGTGAAATTCACAAAAGAATCAATAAAAAGATAAAAAAGAAAACCTCCTTTTTATACATACATGAGTCCATTGCTCACTACTGTAAAAAGAAGTCAGATGCAAATGTACCATGGAATTGTTTTCACTTTAAGAAAGGGGCTGGAGAGATGGCTCAGTGGTTAAGAGCACTGCCTGCTCTTCCAAAGGTCCTGGGTTCAATTCCCAGCACCAACGTGGCAGCTTACAACTGTCTGTAATTCCAGTTCCAAGAACTCTTGACACCCTTATACAAATGCACATAAAATAAAATTTAAAAAAAGATATAAAATATGAGTGTACTAAACAAATAATCAATAACTGTATTCTTGAATTTTTAACTTCCTTATTGTATTTCACTATGAGGGTTATGCTCGTGTATGTCTGTGTATCACGTGCACCCTGGAACTGGGAGTTATGGATGGTGTGAACTGCCATGTAGGTGCTAGGGAAGAACCTCAAACTGACGAGCTTCTGAAGCCCAAATGATAAAATTATGATGTTTATAACAATTCTACCCCTCTGAAAAGATCATTTGGTTTCCTTTGCCAATACTCTAGTATTTCCCAAAGGTACCATTTATTTCACCTTACCTCTTCAACGGGAAGGTCCTGAAGCTGGGGCAGGGAACAGGACAGGATTCCAATGAGGAAGGGCGTGGGCGAGCACACTATGTCAACCATGGACACGGGCAGCACTGGAATGTAGGTGTGCTGCCAGGTGAACGGGTACAGTGCAGCCACCACGGCGTGGCCACATTTTGACAGGGTGCTGGACAGGGGGAGAGCACATGGCGCCGTAAATAAAGCAGCACGTGGGCCACAACTCAATACTATGTCAGAGCATTACACAGTGACCTCACTGCCCTTCACAGATCAACAACCCTGGGGATCTGTAGTAATTTTTAGCAGGACTCATCTCGGTCAGGTTCACCACAATTTATCACGCTAAAATAAATGATGTGTACATAAAAAAGCAATACTGGTGTTTTTAAAGGATATGTTTCCCAGACTGTCCTTGAACTCCTGAGCTCAACTGAATCTTCTGCCTTGGGCCTCCTGAGTAGATGAGACCACAAGTATGAACCACACAGCCCTGTAAGCAATATCAATATTTTATTTCTTTCTGTTTTGTTGGATGTGTTTGTTTTGTTTTATTTTGAGACAGGGTCTCACTATGTGGCCTCAGCTGCTCTCGAACTTACAGAGATCTGGCTGCCTCCGCCTCCCGAGTGCTGGAGTTATAGGTGTGCACCACCCACCTAGCCATCTTTGTAATTTTGCACACAAGTCTTTTCAGTGTCTGTCTTCTCCATTTAGGTCCTGGAAACCAAACCTGGGTATTTGCAAGAGCAACGAGTACTCAAACTTCCAAGCCAGCTCTCCAGCCCTAGTACTAGATATTTTAAATATAATCCCATTGCGGAAAACAACACCACCATCACCACCAACAAAAAACAAAAGCAAGACACACATGAGGTGACATATCCCACTGATTCCTTACCTCAGGCTGTTGGCAACAAAGATTACCCTCCGCTCTAAAAGGAGAGAGGCACAGACCCGGATGAGATGACGCACGCTCAAGCACGTGAAGAGACACTCAAAATCCACGTGTTCCAGTCGTGAATCGAGTGGCCGGCAGAGTTCAATTGACTGAAACACAAGGAAAATCCAAGAGCTGATGCTGGACTACAGCCCTAATGGCAGCACTCACAAAACTTCTTGCTCTTTCTTTAGTCTGAAAAATGTGTTACTTGGGGCAGGTGTGGTGGTGTAGGCCTGTAATCCCAGCACTCAGGGGGCAGAGGCAGGGGGATCTCTAAGGGTTCAAGGCCAGGCTAGTCTACAGAGTGAGTTCCAGGACAGCGAGAGCAACATAGTGATACCCTGTCCAGAAAGAAAAAAAAAAAAAGAGAGACTGCCACAAAGAGTTTATGATACATACATACACATCTGCCATTCGTCATGTTGAGACTGCCACTCTAGAGGGACCCAATCTATGTCAGATAGAAAACCTGGGGCGAGGGTTAACTAACTACCTCACACACTCATTCAGAGTTTCTAAGACAATAAACACACTCCCTTGAGTAGATCAAACTATCCCTCCCCATGAATGAGCTTCTGCAACTGGGCCTGTAGCAGTACAAAGCTTGCCTCTGAGTGGCTACTAAACCTGGCGATATGAACTCACTTACCCCATCTCCAGCCCCAGGGAGGTAGCTCTTAACTGTGATGGTGCGGCCAGGAGCTGGGAAAGGGGCTTCCATGACACTTCGCATGAATGGGTGAACCAGGGCTGGGGACATTTCTCTTCTCTTCTCTACTTCATCCAGAATCTGCACAGGGCACACATATAAACAAAGAACAAACAAAGCCCACAGTATTTACTAAGGTCCTCATCCCACAAACAGAAAGAAATCCTACTATGAATAAGTAGCAGTGGCAGAATTGGAGAAACAAGCTCTGCAACTGATAAAAGCCCACAGCACCACATCCTGAAGGTATCTTTATGCCCCAAATGATGTAAGTCAACACATTTACAAACTAACTTTTTCCTTTACATTTATTTAGAGAGACAGTGCGTGTGTGTGTGTGTGTAGGTGTGAGCATGTCATGATTCAAGTCTGGAAGTCAGAAGTTGTCCATTGTTTGCTGATCCACTGTATGGATCCTGGGTATTAACTCGGGCTTTCAGGCTTGGCAGCAAAAGCCTTTACCACTTAGCCATCTTACCAGTCCCCAGACCATTTTCACTTCACCAGAGGGCAAAAAAAAAAAAAGTAACAGGGACAATGATATCCTGCAAGCTGGGTTAAAGGAAAGAAAGAGGCAAGATGTGCTTCAGGATGTGTTCTTTTAGAACTGTGAGTTTGGGCACTAGAAAGTTGGCTCAGTGTTTAAAAGCTCTCGTTACTCTCATAAACCTGGGTTCAATGCCCAGCACCCACAAGGCAGCTCACAACCATTACTCCACGCCCAGGGGGTCTGACCTCTTCTTCTGGTCCCTTGGCCACTAGGCACACATGTCATACACAGATGTGTGTGTAGATAAAACACCATACACAAAACAAACATAAATAAACCTTTAAAAGAAAAAAAAAAAAAAAAAACCAAGCCAGGTATGGTGACACACTCCTTTAATCCCAGCGCTTGGGAGGCAGAGGCAGATAGATCTCTGTGATTTTGAGGACAGACTGGTCTACCAAGCAAGTTCCAGAACAGCCAGGGCTGTTACACAGAGAAAACTTGCCTCAAAAAGACAAAACGGAAGAAAAAAATCCAAACCTGGGCATTTTAGCAAACCAAACTTCTAATGGAGCAACATAATGATCAGGGCCTAAGCTTAAGCCTTGAAGCCTATGGGTTATTGTTTCTCATCTTTAAATGTGTTAGGGGAGGGCATGCACATGTCACAGTGCACAGACACAGGACACTACATGGGTTCCAGGAGTCAGACTCAGGCCATCAGCCTTGGTGGAAAATGCCTTTACCTGCTGAGCCTGTGGCTCTTGGCCTAGCAGTGGGGAGCTTTCTCAAGTAGTAAGTTAACGTCTATGCTACTCAACGTTCTCTAGTGAAATCCAGCAAGAACCACCTCAGACCTAGAAGGAGAATCACTCCTCCCCAGAGGACACTTGACTCACCTTTGAGAAGAGATTGAAGCAGCCCAAGCGACTGACCATGCAGTACACCTCAGGGAGCCGCTTTCCTCTGCCTTCTGGCTGAAAAACAAAGAAACCAGCAGAGCACGGGCTTACTAATTCTAACTATTAATGTTTGCGTAGTAGGTCCCTCCTGTGGTGGCTGACGCTTGCCCCAAAGCTCTGGGCTCAAGCGATGCTCTTACTTCAGACACTGAAGCCAGGGGACTTCGGGTGCGCACAGGCATCTTTCACCGTTGCTTAGTCAGAGCTGGAGCGGAGCACTTAAAGGTAAGGGGAGTACTAAGGACAGAAGCATGATCTGCCCAGGCTTAGTGCTTAAGCAAGAGACCTGAGAAAGGTGGTGAGTAACTCAGCTTCTTCCGCCCACTCTCTGGACGGTATTCTTCAAATGTGCGGTACTGACATTCAATCTCCATGTTACTTTTTCTACTGCACAGAAACAAGTCAATGAAACCCAAAGCCTTTCTATTCTGCATCATTCTATGGCTGTCCTTCACCTTGCTCTTGCTCTGTAAAGCAAACATAGCTTCTTTTTTAAAAAATATTTTTGATTGATGTCTGTGTATCATGCGTATGCAGTGCCCATGAAGTACCAGAAGAGGGCACCAGATCCCCTGCCTGCCAGATCCCTTGGTTCAGGAGTTACTGCGAGCTACTGTTGCCCAGGGGTGCTGGAAGTCAAACCCAGGTCCTCTAAAAGACCAACCAGTAGTCTGAACCACTGAGTCATTGCTAGCCCTAATGCAGCTTCTTGTCTGTGCACAAAATTAATGAGCCATTAAATACTGTCTCACGGAGGGACAGTATTTCTCAAGTTCTTAGTTGCCCTTTCTTGTTCCATTACCAAATCTGTGGCACCAATCTGGTACTCACCAAAAGCTTCTTACAGTAGCCAAACCACCGACTTCCATCTTCACCAGTCAACACGAAGGAAAATGTTTCACTGAAAACAAAATGAAACACAGCTGCTTAAGGCATTACTCATTTAACAAGTAAAAGGAGTCATTTTGTGATCTAAGAGGAAACAGAAATATCTATTTATTTCAAGTTATATTCCCCTACAGAGTGCCCATGCCCTGTCCTGGCGTGAGAGAGTGGGGATGGGATAAGCTTTTGGTATTGCTGTCCCCTTTTCCTTAATTATGCCCTCTAGCTATTATCTTTTTCCCTTCGTTAAACATCTAATTTAGCTAAACACACACGTAAGCAAGCTATAAAGATTTTTTTTTTTTTTTTGAGACAGGTTTCTCTGTTTAGCCTTGGCTTTCTGAACTCACTTTGTAGACCAGGCTGGTCTTGAACTCACAGAAATCCACCTACCTCTGCTTCCCAGAGTGCTGGGATCAAAGGCTTCTGCCACCATGCCTGACTGCTATAAAGAATTTTGATAATGTCATTTCTCCCTTGCAAATTCTTCTGTTTGTTTCTGAGAGGTCATATGGAACAGTGACAGAAGAAAGACTACATCCTCGGCTGGGGAGATGGCTCGCTGGAGAAAGTGTTTGCCACACAAGCATAACCTGGATACAGACCGGCAGGTCTACACAAAGCGGGGTGCAACAGCAAGCATCTGCAATCTCAACATCCCTACAGTGAGATAGGACGCAGACAGGAGACTCCCCAGAAGCTCCAAGGCCAGCAAGCCTGACACAGCAGTAGAGAATGAGAAACCCTAGCTCATCAAAGCAGAGGCAAGGACTCATACATGTCCTCTGTCCTCCTCATGTGAACCTGCACGCCAACTCTCTTTCTCAGACACACACAGAGACAGGAAAAAGGTCATATCCTTAATATATACAAATCAATAGGAAAAAGAGCAACTCCTTGTTATAAACATGGACCAAAAATGAGCACCACTTACAAAATCCCCAAAGATGCCCCAAAAGGAAATTCAATTGCCAAAGAACCTGAAGTTTGAATGACACTATATTTAATTAAATTTTATTTTCTGTGTATGAGTGTTTTGCCCCCATATATATCTGTGCACCACTATGTACAGTGCCCACAGAGACCAAACGGGGCTTTGGAGCCTCTGAAATTCAAATTTTAGATAGTCATGAGATGCTACATTGGTGGTGGAATCAAACCTATGTCTTGTGCAAGAGCAGCAAGTGCTCTTTAACCTCTGAGCACTGGTGGATGGATCAACATTCAAATGCGGTCAAGATTATTGAAAGGAATATTTATAGTAGTAAGTTCCGAGCAAGACGCTGCCTTTGCTTTTTATTGCCTCTTCTGCACTCTAAGTATTCTAGAACATGCTTCGTGCAGGAGGAAGAAGTCTACCATGGAGCAGCCAGGCCAGTAAGAGACACTGCATCCACAGCTGGCAGTACAAGTGACAACACAGCATCAATGCTGACAGCTAAGGGGTGGAGAGCTGCGATCAGGCTCAACTGGTTATGCAAGGAGACGGCTAAGTCTAGAGGTGAGGCAGGGCTAGCTAATGGGCCAACAGCTGAGACCATCATTTAGTGGGTCATCAACACATGACCCAATTCATTTATACAAGCTTTTCTACCTAACTGGCATACCTAAGAATTACAATTTAGTTTTCGTGGCTTATTTTTTAACAATTTATTATTATTTTGTTGTTGTTTGTTGTTTTGGTTTTTCAAGACAGAATTTCTCTGGGTAGAGATGGCTGTTCTAGAACTCTCTCTGTAGACTAGGCTGGCCTTGAACTCACAGAGATCTGTTCGCCTCAGCCTCCTGAGTGCTGGGATTAAAAGCATGCCCCCCCGCCACCATCCGGCTAGATTTTTTTTAATGTATATAGCTGTTTTGCCTGAATGAATGCGCACCACATTCATGCAGTGCCCACGGAGGCCAGAAGAAGACATCAGGTCCTAGAGTTGTAGCTGCTGTGAAGAGCCGTATGGCTGCTGAGAAACCGACCTCAGTCCTCAGCAAGAGCAGCCACTGGTCTTAACTACTAAGCTATCTCTCCTTCCTATTGCTTGCTTGTTTGTTTGAGACCAGGTTTCTCTGTGTAGCCTTGGCTGTCCTGGATTCATTTTATAGACCAGGCTGGCCTCAAACTCACAGAGATCCGCCTGCCTCTGCCTCCCCGAGTGCTGGGATTACAGGCTTGCTTGCTTATTTTTTTACATAAAGTCAATGTTTCCCAGCCTAACCTCCAACTCTTAGTCTCAAGTGATCCTCTTTTCTTTGGACCTCTGAGTGGTTTTTTGTCTCAAAAACAATAAGAAACAAACAAGCACACAAACAAAACAAAAAAAAAAGCAGGGTTTGGAAGTGATAATGGTTTTAGAAATTAAAGTCCTTTTTGAAAGGTTTTTTTTTTTTAATCATTTTTAAGTGTGTGTGTGTGTGAGTGTATTGCGCGCAAGTGAGTACAGTTGCTCTTGGAGAACAGAGACCCTCCTGAAGCTGGCATTACACACAGCTGGGACCATAGGGACTGGCAACCAAACTCAGGTCCTCTGCAATAGTACTTGCTCTTAACTACTGAGTCATCTCTCCTGCCCCCACAAAACTCTTTAATGCTTCAATTCCACACCTATCAGGCTGGGGGCTCCCTCTGTTCCCACACAGGAGTACAGAATCTGGGCTGTGGCTTTTTCTGTGAATTTGAAGGAGAAACAATGACAGCTGTTCTGTTTCGCTCTTTTTGGGTTTAACCTGGCTACTCTGGGCCGTCATCTTACTGCAGGTGATGTGGACCCTTTTGTCCAGGGCTGATAAACTAGGGAGATTCACAAATCTGTTCTCTTTGACAGTGAAATTTCAGTTTTTCTTTCCTGAGCTCTCACACAAGCGTTCTGATTCTACCTCAGCCCTCTGCAGCTTGATCTGCTTGTGTTCATTCGTGTGGCTCTCTATTCCTGACTCTACCCACTTGTCAGATTCTATTCAAACTGAAAACAGATGCACTGGTTTACCTCTTGAGCGCTGAGGTTGGCACCCAGTCCTCTGAATCAGGAAAACAAAACTTGGGGATGACTTTGAGCCTCTCTTCAGTGTCTTTGGATTGCTTATAGCCATGATCACCCTGAAAGAATACCACAGAATATCAACCTATGAGAATGGAGACCAGAACTTTAAAAAAAAAAAAAAAAAAAAGACACTTCAGCACGGTCTTGGGGCAGCATGGTGAGGCTGTGCAGAGGCTTCCCCCAGTGAAGCCTGCTGGTAGTGCTTTCTAGGAGAACACCGACACTCATCAACAGGGAATGAGCACAGGGGCTAAGAATGGAGAATCCTATTTGACCCTGAAATCGTACCGGTGAAGACCCTATAACCTTGGTGGTACCGAAGAGTTTCTTATGCAGAGGAGGATCTAGACTCAGCTTTCTCAAACTGGTTGGTAGTCCAGTGTGTTATAAATCATGGGATTTAAGATAAATAAAAATCCTTCTATTATATATCAGAAACCTAGCCAGCTGAAATCATTCTGATTAATAATCAAGAGTGCTTTGAAAAGGCAGATAAATGCTATTTAGAAAAGACACTATTTTTCAGTGTTACCCTGTATATAATCATTCCCTTAGTTTTGCGACCTAATTATAGGTTTGTAACTCCCTGGGAATTTTTAGCCCAGAAGACTCTTACGGAAGTGTGGTATAAGTCAGACATGGTGTTCTCTACCTATAACCCTAATTTTTGAGAGGTGTGGGCAGGAGAATTAGGAATTATGGCCAACCTTGGCTACATAGAGCGCTCAAGGTCAGCCTGGGCTACATAAGACCCAAATACACAAAAAGTGGTATTGTACTTAGAAAGGCAGTGTAAATTTAGTTAAATGAAAAGATACTCAGAAATGAGAAGGACTATCTATAAAAACAGCACAGAAGTCTGATTAGCATATTGCTTTTTCGAGAACTGATCAAAGTTCTCTGTAAGTTTCTTTAAAGAATATGCACCTATTCCATGTCACTGGGATGTTCCACACTGAAAACAGCAGGACAGCATCAGGACAGGGAGTGTAGCTCCCAGAGTCGCTGCCAAGCACGCAGGTGGCCTTGATCCCAGTCACACCTAACCCATTTGTTAGCTCTAACTTGGTATGTTCACAATCATCTTCAGCCAAGGTGTTCCACAACAGTCCAGGCAGGGCTCCACAGGCTCTCTCCATCCCCCCAAATGATGGGCATCTGAGGCACCAAAAACAGCAAGCAATTTACCTAAAGGCATGTGTTTCTATTTATCTTTTGTCCCCTTAATTATGTGCACGCCTGTGTATCCTCATATGCATATGTGCATATGAGGGCAGCTGTCTGTCTGGATTCCTGCGTACTGAAGTGAGAGATGGTTGTAAGCCACCTCATATGGGTGCTGGAATTGAACAGCAGTGGCTACTTTTAACCACTGTGCCATATTTCCAGTCCCACCACAGACATTCTTGATTCGTCTGCTGTGCCCTTCTCAGGCACTACACCTATTAATTCAGGCTTAGCCTTTTGGTATAATTAACCCGAACTAGGGAGGGGGGATGTGAAGGTCTTTCTAAGCTAGGCATGGTGGTAAATGCCTGTAATCCTAATGTTTGGGAAGCTTGTAATAATATAGCTAGTACTCGTAACAGCTCCTTAAATGAATGAATGATTTGTGAGGTGAAACAGGCAGAGGAAACCAAAGCAGTGTTAGAACAGCAAGGCTAGGCTTGGGGGCTCCTAGCACTTGGGTTGCTGAAGCAGGATTGCCCATTCAAGGAGGCTTTGGGGAAGCTCCTGTCGCAATGTTGGTGGAAGCTGGCAGGGACAGCAGTGAACAAGAGAAAAACACAGGACTGTGCGGGCACCTTCCGGAGGCTTCATGGACACCATGTACCCACCTTGCTAGGGAACTGCTGTATGACCTGGGGGACATAGCCTGTTCCGGACGGCGTCTTCTGCAGAGAGACCACCACGAAGAGTTCAAACAGCTGCTGTTCCTGCAGCTCAATAAGGTCCCGCTCCAAGGTCTGGTAGTGGGGGTTCCTCTTGGAGGACTGCTGCAGCTGTGCTAGGCGCTTGTGGCGATCTGTAATGAGGTCACAGTGTCAGGCTCCTTGTGCCCGTACCCTCTTTCTAGCCCCACAAGTCGTGGCTCTCACAGGGAGAATCCTGTGGTCCTCTGTTGAATGAATGCAGAGAAGTATCTTCCACACAAATATTCCTGTCTGGGCTATGACATGGGAGAGGACAGTGCTCAGGGGTCCGCTGGAGCGACATTTTGTGCACTGTGTAAAGGCTGTCTTCGATATTCAAATGCCGATTTCTGTCCCAGCAGAGAGCTGAGAACAGACCTGACTTGGGCATTGGTAAGCATCACCTGTCTCAGTGTTTTGTAAACATTGTTCTCCACCACCTTCTGATTGGTTGAATGAAGAACTGAATGGCCTATAGCAAAGGCAGGACTTCCAGAGAGATAGGACCTCTGGGAAAGAAAGAGGCACAAAGGACACGGAAGAAGTCGGACATACGAAACTGAAAAGAGGTAAAGGACCATGTGGTACGACATAGATTAATACAGATGGGTTAACACAGGTTATAAGAGCTAGTTGGGAAAAACAGTGAGCTAAGGTCTAAAGCTATAAACCCAAGTTTCCATGTCATTATTCAGAGCTGGGATGGGCATGGAGTTTTAGGGTCCTATTCTACCTCCAGCAAGCAGTGGGGCTGACATCCATATCCCAAAAGATGTACTGTATATCTAAAACACACACTTGATCTATGTATTATATATATACAAACACACATATATCCTCCATGCAGAGCACCAGGACACATGCAAAATGTCTAGGAAAAAATACAAAACTGACAGTACATGCCATTTCTGGTACTGTCTTGAAAGCATGGAAGAGAGATGGATATAGTAGAAGAACTGAGTCCTAGGCAGACACTAAGCACAGCCAGGGCAAACCAAAACCAAAGTTAACCTCACATTAAAAACCCATCCTTTCCCTTTCCCTTGGCACATAATAAGAGGTGTGGCTTGTTATCAATCACAGTTCTTCAAAAAAAGACATGAAAGTTGGAGAGACGGTTCAGTGGTTAAGAGCATGTACTGCTCTTTCAGAAGACCTGAGTTTGGCTCACAGCCCTAAGTCAGGTGGTTCGCAACTGCCTGTAACTCCAGCTCCAGTGTGAGGAGAGGGAGTGGGGGATCTGTCACCTCTGGCCTCTGCAGGCACCCATACTCATATGTACATACTCCCTCACTGATACACATAATTAAAAAGAATAAAAATAAATCTAAAATAATTTTTAAAAACAAAACACACAGACCTCTGGAATAGAAGATCTAACAATAAAGCCAAGAAGCTACAACAACCTGATTCTTGACAAGAAAACTAAAATACACATTGGGGAAGGAAACAACCTCTTTAACAAGAAAGGCTGGGAAAACTGGATATCCATCCCATAAGAAAAGCAGAGACCAGATCCCTATCACCCCACAAAAACCAATTCAAATAGATCAAAGTCCTTGATGAAAAATAAAATCTGGCTAGGCAGTGGTGGTGCACGCGTTTAATCCTAGCATTCGGGAGGCAGAGGCAGACAGATTTCTGAGTTTGAGGCCAGAGTGAGTTCCAGGACAGCCTGTGCCACCCAGAGAAACCCTGCCTTGAGAAAAACAAACTCTGGACTGCTAGACAAAGGCAAGGGAAACACTCCAAGATACAGACATAGAAAATGACTTTTGACTAGAACACAGATAGCTCAGGAAGTAAGATTGGGTAAAGGGATTGCAAGTCATTAAAAATCTTCTGAGCAGCAAAAGGAAAAGTGGGGAGACAGGCACAGAGCAGGAGAACACCTCTGCTGAACACTCATCTGACAGAGGATTAATAGCCAGAACACATAAGAACATAAGAACAAAATAAACGCTAGCTCAGTCATTAAGCAGGCAACAGATCAGACACTTTTCAAACCAAGAAACACATACGGCTAGAAAAAGTATGTGAAAGACTGCTCAACGTTCTTAGCCATCAGAAAAATGCAAATCACAACTGTTATCGCCAGTTGTGATATGGCGACTTCTGCCACTAAATAAGTACAGTGTGGATCAAGATATTAAGAACTCTTTACACACAACCAGAAATGGTTCCCTAGAAATGTCCAGTTTACTGGGTGTTCCGGGAAAGGCTGTGCTGACCCTCCAAAGGGCTGCGTTCAAGTCAAGACACATTTGTTCCTGCTTCTCATTAGCAACTGCAATAAATTAGTCATTATTACGCATCAATGCTGAACCCCATAATGCTCTAAGTTTCATCTTTAGTCAGGCTACAAAATCCAAAACCTGGAGCAATTTAGGCCAGTGGAGGAGCACGAGGCTGTTACTCATGACATCAGTGTGTCAGCGTTGGCCTCCGCTCAGACTCCTGCTCTTTGTGTTGCTGTATGTCAGCCAGTTAAACGAGAAATAAAACCTGCTATGACAATTCGTCTGATGAAGACCGAGAGCACATTAAGTGCTTGTAGAGGTAAGAGCAGGAAATGCACGGATTCTGCACCCCGATATGAACCGCATAATGACTTGGAATAGAAGCACCTACATGTAAGTATCTTCCCTCCCTTCTTAATGTCAGAGAGAGAAAATGCACTTAGTAGTTACGCTTGAGTTACTAGGGAAAAATCGGCCATTTCAGACTAAGCGCTTGTCGATGAGGATGATTCACACTCTTTTGGCTGCTACAAACTGCACAGGTCTGGGCCTGCGGAGCTTGCCGCCCTGCTCCCTCCCGAACTCGTCCTCGGAACCATCCTGGTTTGCCTCCCTTCACTAGGGGAGATCTGTCATGCTGTCAAACGGCTGAATGTACTACTTAGCTCCGCAAATCTCCACAGGGTCTGAGGATGAAGCAATGGCCTACAAAGTCAACCACGTGGGGAAAGGCATGCTTAATCACAAAAGCAGGCAGGCGTTGCTCCAGCCGAAGCCGGGATCAGGGAGGGGAGCAGCGGCTGACTCACTCACTCTTTGGCAGGTACTCAGCATCACTCTCGTTCCCACTGGTTTCACCTGGAGAAAAAGGAAGAGAGGAGAGTTTCCGTTTGCATTGTCCCTTAGTAGGAAGCGTATGAGCATGAGAACATGGGAAACTGTCACAGTCTGGGGCCTCGAACGAGGAACGAGGGTCAAGCTAGTGAAGGTCAAATTAGCCCAGCTGTTGAAAGAGAACACAGGACAAAACAGGAGACCCCCAGAGGATCTGAAACAGACAGTAACACAACCTATACACACCATGGGTTTTTTTTTTTTTTCTGTGTTAGTCTGAGATCATTTATAAACTAAACATAGTAAGAAACTAGTAACTAATGTCAAAATATAGCAATTATTATAAGACACAATGGAAAGTTCCGTGAATATGGCTCTTTCTCCCAATGCTTTAACACTGTACTTAACCTGGGCCCGTGTGCTGACATGAAGTGAGGGAGCGATAAAGGCAGTGTGTATGAAGCAGGAGGCTATGAAGGGAGGCCTGACATCAGCACTGTGACTCAGTGATGCTCACCTGATGGCCTGTGTGGTACTGACCGGTGGGCGGCACAGAGTAGAGAGCTAGACAAAGGGCTAATTCACATGGGGCAAGGAGGAGCAGGACAGACAGCAGCCTCACCATGCTGCTCCGAACAAGCTTAGCCCAAAGCTTTTCAACGGTTTTCTAGACTCTTCCATTTGATACTTTCAAATCTCAGCTGACCACAGCTAACTGCAGCTGTAGAAAGTGACCCAAGACGTGGTGAGGGGGCTAATGATGAGGCTCAGAGAAGGACCTCACCTCTACCTCCCTTCCATGCTTGTATCAGCGGCTCTCAGCCTTTGCTACAGGGTTAGCCAGTTACTCAGATAATTCTGTCTCCTTCAGAGTGAGGTCTAGTTTTCATTCAAATAGCTCTGTACAGCTTTAAATAAAGGATGGAAAAAAAATGCGGTCACTGTGGGAGATAACCAGCTGAGTTTAGAAAGCAGAAAGAACACTACCTTTTCTACCGTTCGCTAAACACTGTAACCACACTGCTCTCTTAAGCCCACAGTAATAGAAATGCTTTGAACTGTTCTTATTCTCCCCAATCATTTATAAGGCTTTTGAGGATAGGGGCTACACTCTTTTCACAAGGGAGCATTAGGGGCTTTGTTTGTTTTTGTTTTGTGTGTGTGTGTGTGACTGAATGTAGGAGCTTTGCACCCTAGCTACCAATGGAGGATTCTATACCCTAATTCTATAAATATAATTTACCAAAAGATGAAAAATAAAGAAAGATTTTTAGCACTCAGGGAGGCAGAGGCAGGCAGACCTCTATGAGTTCAAGGCCAGCCTGGTCTATAAATCGAGTCCAGGATAGCCAAGGCTACACAGAGAAACTCTGTCTCAAAAAAAAGAGAGAGAGAGAAAAAAAAGATTTTTTTTAACAAAGTCAAGGGACTCAGAGGAAGAGCACTACCCTTATATAGAGTGTATGCAGAGCCTCAAAAGAGGCTTTTAAATAAGTAAATTAAAATACTTCATTGGGTATGATGGTTCCTTCCCTTAATCCCAGCACTTGGGAGGCAGAGGCAGGTAGATCTCTGCAAATACAGGCCAGCCTGGTCTATATAAAGAGTTCCATGTCAGGCAAGGCTACATAGTGAGGCTCTTTCTCAAAAAAAGAAAAAAGACTGGTGAATTTAGTCCTAGCAGTATATGGATAATGGACTCTCAAGAATTGTCCTCTGGCCTCCAAATTCACACCACGGCACCTACCCAGCACACCACACACACAGCCACACAGAGCATCCACTCACAATAGAACAAATAAATAAAATGGAGTAACAGTTGTTTTTAGAACTTCTATATTAAGACTAAAAATTTAAGGCAAACTAAAAACTGAAAAACAAGAGAAAAATCTTTTTATCAGGAAAATCACAGCCTAATATTCATAAATTTAAAACATGCATAAATGTGATCATATAACATTTTGAAATTCAGTCAGGCCTGGTAGCCACACTTTAATCGAGTAGATGAGAGGCTGACACAAGAGGATCAAGGGTTTAATGACAGCTTTAGCTACACACAGTGAAGTTAGGACAACCTGTGTTACATGACACCCTGTTCCAAAAACCGGAAAGAAAAAATAAAATTTTCTAATTAAAAAAACCTCAGTACTAAATTTAAAAATTGAAAAATAAATTGGGAAAATATTTGTAAGTATACTGAAGATACAAAAACTATTTTCTTCTTTTTTGTGCTTTTTAAGGTAGGGTCTCACTCTGTAGCGGAAGCTAGCATGGAATTTCACTATGTAGCACAAGCTGGCCTCAAACTTGGGCCAATCCTCCTGCTTCTGCCTTCAAAATTCCCAAAGGGATTACAAACATGGGCCACCATGCTCGCAGCTTAAAACTGGGTTCCTTTCTTCTTTTTTTTTAAGCCGGGGTATCTTTGTTCTCTATGTAGACCATTTTGGTCTCAAACTCACAGTGATCCGCCTGCCTCTGCCTTCTGAATGCTGAGGATTAAAGGTGTGTGTCGTTCTGTCTGACTCAAAACTAAATTTCTTAATACTTAATACTCAAAGAGCTATTACAAATCAAATGGGCTAGGAAGATAGCTCAAGTCAAAGTTTTTGTAGTGCAAACATGAGGACCACATACAATGGAAGGTGCTTACAATTCCATTGCTAGGACTCACTAGCCAATCAACACAGCCTACTCAGTGAGCTCTAGGACAGTCAAAAACTATCTCAAAAAACAAGGTAGACTAGATCTCTGGCCTCCACATATATGTACACAAATGTTTACACACATACAACACACATGTAAGTACACACAAATGGCAGAAAAAAATGATAAATGGTTAGAAATAGGCAATTCACAGATCAGATTTATAACTTTTTTTTAAAGATTTTATTTATTTATTTTGAATCTTCTATCTGCATGTACACCTGCATGTCAGAAGACAGCAGTAGAAGGTATAAATGGTTGTGAGCCACCACGTGGTTTTTGGGAACTGAACTCAGGACCTCTGGAAGAGCAGTCAGAGCTCTTTACCACTGGGCCATCTCTCCAGCCCAATTTATAACTTTTTAATAAATATGAAAAATTTCCCAAGTTTATAATGAAAACAAGTATTAAAGCAATAAATAAGATACTACATTTCAACCATTAACAAAAAAATTTCATTAAACAACTTGATGAAGATTATGGGAAAGAATATTCAAATGTTTGCAGAAACAGGCTATAGTACCAGCTGTTTGTGAGTCAACAGCTATAAAAAATATTTTATTGTGGTTTTTGGGGTCAGGAGCTCACTCTGTAACTCGGGCTGTTCTGGAACTCACTTTGTAAGCCAGGGTGGCCCTGAGTTCACTTGATCCTCCTGCCTCAGTCTCTGAGGCATTTAGCATTGCAGGTGTGAGCTATGCTCGGCTGCTGTAATAGTTTCAAGTCTACGCACTTGATCAAGTGAGTCTACTACAAGGAGCTTAACTTACAAACACAGTACACAAAGTAAGTAAAACACTAAGCATTGCAACATTGTTTGAATATCTGTGTGTACCTTTATAGATCTATCTCTGTAGGTTAAGTATGTAAGAGACAACCAAAATGTCTACTTGGACTGAAAACTTGAGGTGATGGGGATAGAATAAGGGTCTCCCTGATGAGCACAACCATCCACGATGAGACTTCCATTTCTATACCCTGAGTACAGTAGAGCTTTCAGGGTTTCTGTGTTGACACTGAAGGAGCTCTGAGGTACATTCAATAAGTCTTTAAAACAGAAAGCACAGAATAAAAATCTGAATAATATAAAACTTATACAGAAAAAGTCTTTAGGGACTGGAGAGATGGCTCAGTGGTTACGAGCACTTTCTGCTCTTCTAAAGGATCTGAGTTTGGTTTGGTTCCAAGTACCCATGTCAGGTGACTTACAACCCACTTTGACCTCTTTGGGAGTCCTGAATATATGTGACACACACAGAGAGACACATAAAATAAAGTCTTTTTTGTTGTTGTTTTGTTTTGCTTGTTTTTTTTTTTTTTTTGTTTTTGAGACAAGATCTCTCTGTGTAGGCTTGGCTGTCCTGGAAGTCACTCTGAAGACCAGGCTGGGCTCAAACTCACAGAGATCCACCTACCTCTGCCTGTGATCAAAGGCATGTGCCATCATGTCCAGCTTAAAAATAACATCTTTACAAAAAAAAAAAAAAAAGTATTATCCTTAGAATCAAGTATTCTCGTGAGCTTATGAAGTTTCTTCCTTATGAAAGAAAGCCAAAAGGAGAGAGGGAGAAAGGGCAACTTGGAGCCGAAAGTCTGATGAAAGGTCAGTTAAAGGTTCTGACGACCTGCAGTCATCACAGTGAGGGGGAGTTAAAGGGCCTAGGAACCAACAGAGAAATCTGTCGGGAACCTGCAGGAGTATCAACAGCCCTGGGTTGTCTGTCTTTTGATTTCAACACACAAAATTATAATGGCAAAGGTGAAGAAAGGCAGCGTCTTTTGTAACAACTGAGACTGGTTGAGAAATGCTCAAGTAGCGAACCCAGAACTGAGGTGCAGAGCGGGCATATATAATTATCCAGGTCCATTAGGCTAACACACAAGCAAAAGCACACAAGAAGAGAGAACCTGAGTGCTGTGCTGACAGAGCTGGGGGCTCCTCAGACAGGTCAACACTCCTCTGGCCCACAGGAGGGGCTAGCACAGGAGCTGGGGGAATAATAACTTTCTTCAGGTCACAGAGGAAAACCAAGTTTTATGAGGGATGTCTACGGAATACTTGTTTTTCTTTGTTTGTTTGCTTTTGGTGCTAGAAGTTGGCAATTTAGGCTGCTGAAAATATTTTTTCCAATGATATGATTTTTAAAAAAAGCAAAATCTGACTCCTCTCAACCTCAGGCAGGTATAGTGTGCCTGAAGTCAATTATTTTAACTTTTATTAATTAAACTTAAAAATTTCATTTTGTATGTGTGTTTATATGCTACAGCACTCAAGTACAATAAAAAAATAACTTTGGGAACTGTTTCTCTCTTTCCACCTTTTTTTTGAGTTTTTTTGTTTTGTTTTGGGACAGGGTCTTTCCTGGTGTCGGTCACTACACCACACCCTCCAAGCTAGCTTGGTGGCTAGCACTGACCAATTCTCCTGTCTCCCACTTCCCATCTCACTGTAGGAATGCTGGGATTACAGACATGCACTGTTGCATCCAGCTTTAGCAGGGCCGGCTGGAGCACACCTTTAATCCCAGCCCTTGGGAGGCAAAGGCAGGTGGATCTCTGTGAGTTTGAGGCCAGAATGAGTTCCAGAACAGCGGAGACTATATAGAGACCCTGTCTTTAATATACATATGGCTAACTATAGCACCCAGCTTTTTATGTGGGTTCCAGGGATAACACTCAGGTCATGAGGCCTGTGTGACTAGCACTTTTACCCACTAAGGCATCTCCCTGGGCCAGGACAATGGGGCTGTTTCATAAGCACTCTTGCTGGCCACAGCATTTGGGCATTTTATGTAATTTGTAGCTACATTTTACTTCCTTATCTATAAATCAACAATATCTGTCACACAGGATTTAGAAAACCAACAGTAATGCATTAGAGAGAATCTAACGCAGTGTCGTGTCCATTTCCATTTCTGTATCTAGCTTGGAATTACACTGAGAAGCCCTTTCCTGACACCTTTGCCTGGGATAAGGAAACACCGAAGAGAGGGATGGCTAAAATTCCATGTTAATGGGAGCATGGAGAGCCTACAGTCTTGCTCCTGAGATGAAATCTTTAAACAAGTATTTTATTCAATAAGTATTAGCTGTCGTTGATAATAATTAGCCAAAGACACTTCATTCCCAGAGAAAAATGAAGCTTGTCTAAATGCTTCCCTTTGACACATGGGCTGGAGAGCTGGCTCAGTGCTCAAAGTGCAAGAGGGCTGGACTTTGGGTCCCCAGGACCCAAGTAAACGCTGGGTGGTGATAACAGACCACCTGTAATTTAGCCTCAGAGGGTGGAGACAGGGACCCACACCCCGTATGTCCCCACTGCGATTCAGACTCTCTGCATCACAGAGCTCTAGGTTTGATTAGGAGCCCCTGCCTCAGAGGAATAAGGTAGATTAACGATAGAGGAAAGTCTATCCATCTCAGGCCTTCACCTGAATGTACACACATGCACCCACTCACATGAACACACATATGCACATCACACCTACAGACACATGAGAAGAAGAAAAAGAAACTGGGAACACACGTTAAACATGGTACCCAGTGCATGTGTTGTTCTTTTGGCAGGACTGTATCAAAGCCAGTCAAAGCCACAGTAAGAGCAGAGTCTTCGGAACCCAGATGGTTTTATTTTGACACAATTAATTTGTTTCAATGTACAGTAGATTTATAAATGAATTTAAGATACTTCTCTTTGTAAATCTGTAAAAACAAGAAATAATGTCCTCTGACAGGACTTTCTCACTTATGAACTGTATAAAGAAAAACTGAAATTGCTAAGTTCTACATATTTCCTTTGGACAACCAAACGGAGATTTCGTGAGGCTGTTTGCAGTGCTAGGGCTGAAGCCCGGGCCACCCAGTGAGGCAGGCAGGTGCTCTTCAGCCCTCATGGGGGCTTGTGAGAAATAACACCTCCCTAGAGAGCTGGGGCTGGAACATCATTCTTCCAGCCTCAGCCTCCTTAGTGCCAGGATTACAAGTGTGCACCAGCACACTCAGACCTTCGAATATGAGTTTTTATATCAAAGCTTTTAATTTGTTGTGAACACTGAAAGTTTCTTAACTAATTTAAATTGTATCTGGCTATCTGCGTGATAAGCTACTGAGCTTCAGAGATGTGGTACAAGTTGGGTAGAGCATGTTTGCTGGCCACGGTGGTGCGTGTCTGTACTCTGTACCTGGGAGGCGGGGGAAGCAGAACCCCAAGTTCCTGACCAGCCTGGGCTACAGAGCAAGACCCAATCTCAAAAGGGGAACAAACAAGAGATCAAAGGGAGTCGGGTGTGGTGACACACACCTATAATCCAGCACTTGGGAGTCACAGGCTGGTGGATTGCTGTAAATTGGAGGCCAGCCTATCTACAAAGAGAGTCCAGGACAGCCAAGGCTACACAGAGAAACCTAGTCTTGAAAAACCAGAAAGAGACAGAGCTCAAAGTGGAATTACAAAATAATTGCTCAAACTACCTAAGCAATTTAGTCTCATTGGTTCATAATTGTTTTATTTATTTATTCACATACTGGGTTTTCTTTGTTTTGTTTTTTGTTTTTATTTGTTTGTTTTACTTCGAATTAAATAAGAAGGAATAGAAAGGGCCCTTGAAGAGCTTGGTGTGAGTGTGGTGGCTCATGCCTGTAATCCCTAAGCTGGAAGACTTAGGCAGAAGGCTCACCACAAACTCATGGGCAGTCTGGTGAGTCCCAGGCCAACTTGAACTAGGGAGCGAGACTCTGTCTAATCAAGCATTAAGTTATGTAACAATGCTCCCTTCATATGTGGTTATGGTTTGAATCCAAAATGTCCCCAGAGGCTCATGTTTTGAATGCCTGCTCCCCAGCTGCTGGCATTACTCTGGAGAGCTTTGGAAACTCTAGGAGGTGGGGCCTAATCGACAGGAGTCAGATGTAATCCCAGCCCTGGCCTCTTCCTTGTGGTCTGTTTCCCAGTCTGCTGCATGTTCCTGCTATCATGAGCTGACTAGTGGACCAAGCCCTCTGAAACCAGGAGCTGACTAGTGGACTGAGCCCTCTGAAACCAGGAGCCAACTGGTGGACTGAGCCCTCTGAAACCAGGAGCCAACTGGTGGACGGAGCCCTCTGAAACCAGGAGCCGACTGGTGGACGGAGCCTTCTGAAACCAGGAGCTGCTGGTAACTGAGCCCTCTGAAACCAAGAGCCGACTGGTGGACGGAGCCCTCTGAAACCAGGAGCCAACTGGTGGACGGAGCCCTCTGAAACCAGGAGCTGACTGGTAACTGAGCCCTCTGAAAC